TTCCGAGCCTTACCGCATTGAATGCGGTCTCATCAACAGAAGGGTGCAATTAATTGTTTGCTTTCCCAAGCCGCGTGTCAGCAACGGCATGCGGTTTGTCTTTCTTTGATGTGACATCATTTGCCACGCGTCCATTCCGTATTGGCTGTGACCTCTGTATTCCAGTATGTTCTGACATTACTTGTGTAAGACGAGGTCATGATGAGCAGCCTAGACTAGACTAGGCTAGTGACCTATACGTCAATAGCTTATCTCGGAGTAGATGAAGCGTCTAGGACGGAGTAACTCTCGGCACCGAGGAAAGGCTCGTCTCGAGCACCGAGGGAGATATGCGACCGAGGTACATGGGTGACCGAGGACACGTGTTGGTTGTAAAATATACTGAATGCATGATCCTATATATGAGGTACCTCGGGGGCGAGGACATTCGTTCGCCGATGGTGCTTGATCCAAGCAACAGTGTATTAGTAAACCGAGGACACGTGTCTTCATCATAGGGTATTCCAGAAAAGTTCCATCAAAAAGCTATTGGATTAGGTTTTAGAAAATATCTCCCATTACAAATACATTACCACGATCATAACCACATACATGAGAATTCCATAACGATTTTATGATTTACACTTACATCTTTGTGTGGTTAGAAAATAAGATTTCCTTTATCAAATGCTCTTAATGAAAGTATAGATGGGTTTTTCCCTTTTTGGGATCCTCTTAAAAACTTTTAGCTTTTCTGCACTTAACAGGGTTCACTTTTAGATATAGCCTAGGACATGCTTTCCATATACTAATTGGTTTTCTGTTCTGTAGACCTGTGAATCAGCAGTGCAACTTCCGAAAGCAGGCAAAGTTGTGGTGAGAGACTCCACACAGAAAAGATTAGGTTCCACCCACTTCAAATATGGCGTTACAGACGAACATTATGAGGTATGCTTAACACATCACATCCCCAAGATGCCATAATTATGTACTTTTGTTTTCAAATAATTTGGGGCTGACAGTTTTCGTCGAAACATGCTAAGATGAAATGAATTGAACATGAACTAGTAGATTAGGTTTGATTAGTTTTTGTCGTGAACAACAAGGAAGTAAGTTTAATGTCAATGATGAATAACATAATTTGGGCACGACAAGCTCGTTTTGCTGGTAAGAATTCTATGTCCGGCCATTGGAATTGAAGGAAAGTCGAAGGGCCATTCGATTAATTAAGGGGCCCTATTTGTTTCCTACGTTTGAGTATTACAAAATGAAAGTTGATATATATGAAATTCCAAACAATCATATAGACAGAAAGTTGGATCTAAGCAAGACAATGCCTAAAAAATCTGATGTCATGCACACATGGTTTCATATGCATATTATATTAGATACAAAGAAGGTTGTAATTGCTTTGTAGCTACAATCAATTGTGAAATAAGTACACCAAATATCATTTTACTAAATGTGTCGGGTTTCAGGATTATCCGGCTCCACACTACCTTACAATAATTATCATAAATCTCAGTCTTTTGTACTTTTTTATTAAATGTATCGAAGGTTCAATACTATCAGACTTAACACTACCATATAGTAATTTCCAGTAATCTGAACCATTAGTTTTTGTTCTGTGGCTTTTTTTTTTCTCTTTTTGTGATGGAGAAAAGGGTTATGTAATGAATAAGCCATTACATGTTTATTAACAGCACCAGCAAGAAACTGAAAATATGCCTATGAATATGATTGCAACCAAACTCTTTCTGTTAGTTACCAAACTTCATTCATCTCTCAAGTAATTGCTTTTGCATTGACAGATTTTATGGGTCCAATCGGCATTGCCCTGTGCTGGTAAGCGAAATACCTGATGCAACACATGGAGCACAATTTGGTCTTCATTGGTTCAAGGCCGGCCTCGAAGGTAATGATAATCGAGCCGAGTCTATCGAACTTGTTTTTTTAAATGAATTTAAAAAATTGTTTAAACTCGACTCGCTTAAAAAATAAGCTAAGTTCGAGCTGAGTCCGAATAACTCAACTATTTTATTTATAAACGAGTCAAGTTTTGCGAGTCGAACGAGCCTTTTTAAGTTTGTTTTCTAAATGAGTCTAAAAAAATGTTCAAGCTCGGC